GACTCTATATCTTTTATTATTTCATCCGCTGATAAGCCTGTTACTGGAGCGATGATCTCTCCCAGAGTCTTCTTCAAATCTTCTTTTTCCTTTTCAGGCAGTCCCTGAAATCTGAGAGTCATGTTTGCTTTCTCCATTTGCAGCTGTAGTAAACAGTTTTCCTGCAGCTTTTGTTTTATTTCCACCTCTGTCACTCTTTTCCTCATCTTCTTGTTTCCGGTGTCCATCTCTACCAGCTTCTCAGTTGCCTGCTCCACTTTCTTCTCCGTCTCTGCCAGCTGGCGCTGCTGCAAGGCGAAATTTTGGTTTAGTGTGGCCAGTTGCTGGTTAATACCACCGAGCTGCTCCAATACCGGTTTCAGCATATCCGCTAACGTCTTCATGACGTCTGCTCCCTCTTCAGATTTTGGACTCTGTCCGTGGAACTGCCATGTTCTCTCTTTGTTTACAATTCAACACCTCTGTTTCAGAGCTCGAAAGACTCGCCGTTTCTCTATCCAAGCTCAAGTAAGTCTCTCAAGATGTAACGCTGTTTCTCTCCCCTCTCCTCCCCTTCGCTTCTTTGATCTATTCAGTCGCTCAGGAGGCGTCCCTCCCTGCACTCCGCTTTCTCCACGGGGGGTGGGGCTTCACTTTACAAAAACAGTCCATTTATCTCTCACTCACGTTCATTGTTGGTCACTTCTGACCTCGCTCTCTTCCATCGCTATTCCGCTTGATCTCCTGTGCTTGTCCCGGTCAGATTGGCTTACACCCATAGGTCACCCATTGGCTGGACCATCAGGGCGGAGGGAAGCCTCTATTCCACGGCTTCGAGCCGTCGAAGAGGCTAACCCTCAAAAGCCCTCTGGCTTGGAACCCACCGCAAGGGTTCCGTGGGAGTGCCACTTGAGGTAGTACCCCTCCAAGCCGAAGGTGTGCTAGTCGCCTCCTCGAGCTTTGAGGAGAGCGACCGCCATCGCCAATCCACCCACCGGAAGTTCCAGAAAATTTTTAAATCTTGAGTGGGGGAAAGCCTTCAGAACATTCCTAAAAGTGGCTTAAAAAGCAACAGTTATGGTTGAAGAGGTTCATGTTACTATATTTTTAGATTAACTTATTTGAAAAATACAGTTAACCCATAAACATTTATTTGCCCTCCAGCCTCTTTTGGACTTTCTCTTTCCTCCCTCTGTCTTTTTGATTGACACTAGCTGCTCCCCGCCAGTGGTGCCCCATAGTCTCCTATACAAAGGGACAGATACGGCATAAGATTATGTAATGCTGTCATGCTAATTGGAAACAGTGGCTGGTCAGAGAGAAACCAGTCCTCTCCCTTTACTTAGTTCGCAGACCTCTTGTACGTACTGTTAGTAGGTATTAAGTGTGCAAGCAGTGACCATTCTTGCTCATGTATTTGAGTTGAGCACCCTTGAGCTAGAGGACTGGGACCTGGGAAGCCTCAGTTCACATCCCCCCTCTGCCAAGAAGCTTGCTTGGTTACATTCTCTCCTCCTAACTTATCTTTCAAAGTTATTGTTAGGATAAAATGGAGGTAATGGAGTGTTGCTAGCCAACCCCAAGCTCCTTGGAAGAAGAGTGAGACAGAAATATGCTAGAGGATAAATGAAAATGTTAATTGTTTTTTACATATTGAATGTTCAGATGAAATTGTCTCATACTCTGGTGTTTTTTGAGATGAATGTTCAACTTTGGATTTTTTTAAAAAATGGATTCTGTCATGTTGGTTATATCTGTCCCAGAATGAAAGCAAAGACTGTAGAAAGTAGATTGTCACTGGGTAGCTATCAGCAGATATCAGTGTAGGCTGTTTGAGGAAAGTCCTTGACACTGTTTGTAATTCTTAGAGGATCCATTTCCACTTTAGCCAGGGGGTGTTGCCTGTTCTGGTGACTGTGATCTATGCTCTGATTCACCTACCCAGTAAGCAATGCTCCCTGTAAGCTGTGGAGTCCGGTGAGCAAAAATTCTACTCTGTGAGGAACTGGCATTAAAGTTGTGAGAGACCGGTTTGGCTACTGCATAAATCAGTTTGCTCTGGAGCCATCCTTCCTGAGCTGAGACAAAAATCTGTGAGCCGGAGGCTAAAAAACTGTGAGCTAGCTCACACTAACTCAGCTTAGAGGGAACACTGCCAGTAAGTCCCTTATGACTTCAACTACCATACACACATACCATACACCTACCCAGTAAGTCCCTTATGACTTCAACTACCATATACTCCTGAGTTTTATTATTGCATGTTATTCTTCTCCACCAAATGTTGCCTATTCCTTTATTTGACCACTTTCTTCTTTCTTTCACCATTCTTTACCTTCTGTCTTCCTCGCCTCCTGTTTTTTGTCATTATCAGTGAATTAATATGGATTCTTCTCCTAGTAGCTCCTATTCTATTTCCCTCAATTTTCTGCTACCTTGCTTTCTTCCACATTGTCATCAGCACTCAGTGGCTTAGATTTCTTTTCTGTTTGTATGTGTGGGAGTTTTGGTGGTTCCTAGGGAGCAGAATATCAGGGAGCTTTCATTAGACTTCCCCTCCTTTAGCTTGGTGGGCTCTTTACATTTGTTGTGTCCACTTGTATTGTCATGCTACTGTGTCTGCGTGGCACAAAATCTCATGTTCTTGATGATCTTACTCTTTTTGGATTTTCTCTAAACTTAGTTCCAGAGTGGTAGGTGTGTACACTGATCTGGATAGCCCAGACTAGCCCAGTCTCATCAGATCTTGGAAGCTAGGCAGGGTCGGCCCTGGCTAGTATTTGGATGGGAGAGCTCCAAGGAATACCGGGTTTGCTATGCAGAGGCAGGCAATGGCAAATCACCTCTGAACGTCGCTTGCCTTGAAAACCCTACAGGGTTGCCATGTCAGCTGTGACTTGATGGCAAAAGAAATGAAAAGAAAAGCTGCATTCGTTCGTTGCAACAAAAATAAACAAAAGTCTTGTGGCACTTTAAAGACTAACATTTAATTCCAGCATAAGGTTTTTGTGTGCTAGAGCTGACTTCTTCAGATGCAAAGAAGTGGGCTGTGGAGTCCGTAGATGTGTTAGTCGTAAAGGACCAGGGAGAGACAGGGTGAACTCCCCTAAAAGCCTGGAGGAAGCCCTAGGTTTGCAGGAAAATAAATGTTGAAAATTGTAGTTAAAAAGCCCTAATATCCTAGAATGAATGTCTGCTTCTTTAGGAAAAGTATGTCTCTGAGATCATGCAAGACTATATTGTGAGATCTAATTGGCCATTTGGGGGGTTGCTAAGCAACACCCAACCAACATTGTAAAGGATTGTAAAACCCATCATTGCAAGGGGGGCAGACTAAAAAAGGTAAAAAATGGGAGGGGAGGTAAAGCTGGGGGAGAGAGCAGAAAAGGTAAAAAGGGAAAGTGGAAGATGGAGGAGGGGAAACAGAAAAAAGTGATTGGGCGAATGGGAGGTCCAGAGGCTGCCAAGGGGAGAAACAGAAGAAGGTAGGCAGGTAGGTGGGCAGGAGAGAAGGAAAGGGGAGAGGCTGGAGGCACTTCCCAGGGGATACAAACCGGAGAAGATAGAGGGAACAAGGGGAGAGGGAAACAAGATTTCCCCGTAGGAGTCCTCTTCGTCACACACCCACTTGTATATATATAACTCTGTTGTCTAGTTGCTATCTAATGCTGTAGATCATCTTACATCAAATTTTTCATACTATGTATTTTGAGTATCTTACAACACATTTCACTAATTTCAAAAGCACCAACAAACAAAAAAACAGGCTTTTTTTGGTGCTCTCCAACATTTCCCAATTGGAAGAACTACAAAACTACCCATGGGTGAGAAGGGAAAGGGCTTTTTCAAACATTTCAGCTTTTTATCATCATTGAATGGTATAAACTTAACATAGAAATAAGCAGTGACAAGAATTTGCATACATGTGCATTTTTATAACATGCAACAAAACAAAACTTAACATAGAAATAAGCAGTGACAAGATACATGTGCATTTTTATATCATGCAACAAAACATTCCATTGTGAAATGATAAACTTGTACCGTCCTGAAGATTGCCGAGAGACACTGAAATAAAATCATTGCTGAATCATGGGTGCTGCAATGATAGTTCTAGACACCGTGGCGGCCTGGGATTTATCGAGCCCTTTCTTACTCCTTTTTTGCACAATTTAATCATTCTTTATTTTGTAACATCTTATGGGATATCTTCGCACAAGATTCATCATCTTCTTTTACTTCTTGTCATTTTTGTCATCTTGATCTTAAACTCATAACAAACTTTGCTGCATTACCACTGATAATGTTGCAGATGTGCGTTAAAGAATTTCCATATTTACTTATGATCGAGAACCATTGTCTTCAGGTGTTGAGAACTATGTGCCTCACAGTGCCATCCTTAGCCTCTGTGTCCTTCCAAGTCCACTGAAGTCACTGGGCGTAGAAGGGCATAACTCTGCTTAAGGTGGTGCTGCCGGTGGCCTCTTCTCATATCAAATGAGTGGAGGGTAATTTTTTACATCTGCAAAAAGCTGTGCGTTAAATTAAGCAAGTGCTCATGGGTAAGCAAGTGCTCATGGGTTAATTCCTGATACTGTTCTTTCAATATGAGTAGCACAGTCAACTTTCAAAGAAGTAAGCTTACCCATGAGCACTTGCCTAATTTGTCACATAATTCTATTTGTGAGGAGAGCAACTTGCTCTTGAGTTTTCTTCAGCTTGTATTAACATTGTCACCAGAACTTAAGAAAAGGATTAAGGTGCATCAGTTTAAAAGTTCTCCCATTCATTGTTTGCCAGCCAGCTAACAGATGACTAATGCAGGGGCTTTGTGAGAGCATGCCTGTTGATGAATAGCAGGGAGGTTGCTTTCTGTGGAGTCGGCTTCCCAAAAATTCACTCAAGATACCTGAGTTGCAGGGGACAGTTATCAAGTATATTTTCCAACCTTTTTTTGCCATAAAGCAGCCCTGCAAGTTCTCTTCATCCTAAGATTAAGAATTTGCTTGCCGATGATCTATAGGCATGTTTGCTCTAACCCATTATTCTTCATACGAGGGAACAGCTGAGTGATTATTTGTCTTGAATCTAAGACAGTAAAATTCTCTCACTGGTGAGCACTTTTATTATCTTGCTGTTGAGCACAGAATTTAGAGTTTGTTTTTAGAGCAAATTCATGTTTTTCATGCAGGGCTGTGATCATCATCACATGAAGAACTTGTCTCAACTTTGGGGTCGCTTCTCTTGAGTAACAACTGTATAGTCATCAGGATGAGGCCATTGTGTGCGCTGCTCTGGGCTGATACATGTGATTCTGTCCATTACTTTTTTGCAATTTGCTGCTTTTACAAACGGAAATGTTCTTGATCAGATCAGATATGAAAAACTTCCTCAGAGTTCCTCAGGAACTTAAGCAGTTCCTGCTTAATTGAAGAAGAAAAAAATGATGGGGGGTCAGTTTCATTTCACCTCCCAGGTTGGGACATTCTGATCTCTAAAACCGAGTTCTCGTTCCTTTTCCATAGACAGTTTTATGTCTTTGTGCCGCAGGATGAATGCAAACTTTTGCTAAATGACCTACTGGCTGGGTATAGTAAATTTTGGACCTTCTGTGTACTAGCCAATTTCAGTAGCCTTTGTGGTAGCGATTCAGGACAGCCAGTTTGGTATAGTGATTAAAAGTGACAAACTCTAATCTGGAAAGCCAGGTTTGATTCCCACTCCTCCACATGCAGCTGCTGGGTGACCTTGGGTCAGCCAAAGTTCTCTGAGAGCTGATCTCTCAAGAGCAGTTCTCTCAGAGCTCTCTCAGCCCCACATAACTCGCAGGCTGTCTGTTGTGGGGAGAGGAAGGGAAGGAGATTGTAAGCTGCTCTGAGACTCTGGAGTGAAGGGCGGGGGATAAAGCCAATCTCTTCTCTCTTCATGGTTTGAGAGATAGTATTGTCACAGTGGCCCGTGTTCATCATCCTAATCATCCTGAGTGCTTATTTATCAGTCATGGAGTTTTATGACTATATTGTAGGCTTATAATGTCAGTTGGTCAAAGCAATGGTATTCCCAGTAGTACTGTATGGCTGCAAGAGAAATCCAAATGTTGGCTGCAAGAGTTGGACTATAAGGAAGGCCAAGAGCTAAATAATAGATTCTTTTGAATTATGGTGCTGGAGAAGACTCTTGAGAGTCCCTTGGACTGCTAGGAGATCGAATCAGTCAATCCTAAAAGAAATCAACCCTGACTGTTCCCTGGAAGGACAGATACTGAAGCTGAAGCTCAAATAGTTTGGCCACCAAATGAGAAGGGAGCACTCACTGGAGAAGACCCTGATGCTGGGAAAGATTGAAGGTAACAGAAGAAAGGGACAGCAAAGGATGAGATGGTTAGACAGTGTTATCGATGCAATGAACATGAAATTAAGCAAACTCCAGAGCACAACAGAAGATGGGAGGGCCTGGCGTGATGTGGTCCATGGGGTTGCAAAGAGTCGGACTCGAGTGTGCGACTGAACAACAACATCATCATCAGTGTATGTAATTATGGAATAACAGTATTTTGTAGTGTTCTGCACCTTCCCACCCCCCAAGCTTTACGGCTCAAACACCTTTTTCAGACCACTAAAATTTCAAACTTGATGTTATTCTTATGTTGTTCTTTTATTATATATGAGAAAGTTGATCTGCACAGGTTTAAACTGTCTCTGAATCAGTAATTGGGGTAAACATTGGTTTACTGTAATTTTTTTAATATGATCTTCTGTTGCTGACAGGTGTGCTTTCTACATTGTGTGCTGTCCCGAAAAAGGAGGGTTACCTGGGATTCTACAGAGGAAATGGAGCAATGATGATTAGAATCTTTCCGTATGGTGCAATTCAGTTTACAGCATTTGGTCAATATAAAGAGGTAGCTCAACCTGTCTTTACTCTTTTTGGCTAACACCATCCAGAGTCATTTAAAAGTTGTGAATGGACAGAGCATGCTGTATAATTAATGATGTGTTTTTTCCCCAAAGGGGTATTTTGAAATACGCAGTTGCATTCCATTTTTACATTTAGGAGGCAGAGAGGGTACTATCAATGTATTGTAAGAAATTTCAAAATTCTAAAGCACATCTAAATGTGTTCTGAGAGCTCCCAACATCCCATCATGAATTTGTCCTGCATAAGCCTGCCTAGTTAGTTAGTTTGTTTTTGTTTTGTTTTAATAGGGATTGAGCAAAAGTAATTCTGGGCTGAGTTAATGCCAGCAAGGCAGAAATGCTACTAATTTCTGGTTCCAGCAAAGAAGGGGCAATGAGATCACCTGCCCTAGACAGGATCACATTCTTCTTGAAGGAGCAGGTTTGCAGTCTAGGTGTACTTCTGGGCTCAGGTTTGCTGCTGTATTACAGCAGCAGCCTTGCGTGTTTCTCAGAATGTTTGCCTGGTGAACTAGTTGCAATCTTCCTCTTGGACTGGGATCTTGGCATTGGCTGAAATCCAGCCAAGTGTTTCCGCAGGCAGGAGTTCCTCCTGCGGAGGATGACTTTCTCACTTCCCCCTCCTGTTGCAGCCCAGAAGTGGTGTTCTTGGTGGACAGGACTCCTCCCCCAACAGAATGCAGAGAGGTTTGGACATCTGCTGTGGGAGGAGGAAATCAGTGATAATTACTTCCCTCTTCCATCAGCAGAAATTCTCCATGGGATCATTTTCATATAAGAAACCTAAAGTAATTGGTGCACAGTTATCCTTTTATATAATTGTATTTTAATATGTATTCTAGTAAGGTATGAATTACAGAACATATACCTTACAGGTGATGCAGATATACTGCTTCTACTAATTTGTGGCCTGTACTGACCAGATCTCTCTTACTGTTGTGAAATCATGTGTGTGGCCAATACGGACTGAAAACCACTCCAATGTAGACTGAGAGATCATTTGCCCATCTTATTTTTGGAAAAACTGCTATTGCAGACACATTCTTACCCATTGATTATAATCCTAACATGAAAGTGCTCACCTATTGTTTGTACTCTTGCTGAGTTGCACATTAAGGTTTACTTAGTATGTTAAGGGTTTTTTTCCCTACACTTGGAAATACTGATATTTTTTCAAATGATAAAGAAGAACCTTGGCATTTCTGGACATGTACATCGGTTAATGGCCGGTTCCATGGCAGGTATTTTATATTTCCATATGCTTAAAATTATTACGATTATCTTCTGCTTGCCAATTTTGCTGCATCTAATTAACACCCAGATTAAAGGTCATTGCTTTAATCACAAATAGGTCTCTGCAGTTTTGGGAGTACAAAGACAAATATCTTGAGAGTCTGAAAAATATTCGTCATAATAGATAACTGTGCACAGTGTCAGAGGTCGACTATACAAACTTTTGAACAGCTTTGAACCATGTGGGATTAGGAGGCTCTTCCACTCTCGATACTGGCTGTAGTAAGCAGGATAGTACATTTTAAGTACTTTTGTCCCCCCCTCCCTTCATGGAAATGGAGCATATTTTTCTTCTACATGGTACATGAAAGTGTTTCTTGAAAAACATGGGATTTTATGGTTTTGAAAAGGAAAATTGGAATAAGGGCGGGGAAGGAGGCTGAAATGTGAGAAATGAAGAAATAGAGCAAAATCACTGCCCAAGAACATGGGATACCAGTAACACCTTTCCTGGAATGAAATGCTGGTAGGGTACAAAGGACTGCTGTGCTACATAAAGAAATAGACAAAGTTTGTAACACCTTTGTTTAAAATTTTATATTGGTCCACAGGAAGAAAAAATCTTAAACCAAAAGCTGTATAATATTTTTTGCTAGGACCAACCAAAATATCCCAAAATGATATGCAAGGTTTGGAGTTCCCCAGAAGACTTTATCAGGCTGTAAGTTTAATATCCCATCCCACCCCCATGGGGTATGATGGAAAAGCCCCAGTCTGCACCCTTTAGATACTTAAAATACAGGATGTTTTCCAGACAGGATAGGATTACTTGGTGGGTGCAAACAGGTTTCAGGATGTACCTAAGGCTACTGGGACAGAGAAGCAGGGGAAAATAGAGTGTATTCTCTCTGAGAATATAAAGATCATTAGTTAATTAGATTTTCCCCCAGCACTTATCTAACAGTCCCCTTGTATAGCAGACAAAAACATAATAGTGTTTATAGTAACAAAACTGCTTTCAGATGCTGCACTATTGACAGAAAATAGAAGCCAGACTGGATGATGATGCTCAGTGGATGGAAGGCATGATCCTCTATTAGCCGAGTCCCACTGGAAGATTCTCCAGCTTGTAGAATTCCTATTTTTGACTTGAGAAATAAGCATAAGAACAATCTGGTTTTATAGTGAAGTCACTTCCATCTGTGGTACAAGGATGAACATCAAATACAGACATTGAAAGTCAGAAGATATTTGAAATTTACAAGCACATTTCACTCCCAAGTTGTTTGCTAACTTGGAGATTTTTTTCAGTATTTTTAATGTGAGTATATTTGAACAAGCATGGAAAGTGCAGGGAGATCTTGAAATAGCTTCCTTAGTGCTTACGAGATTAAAGTCATCCTCTCAGCACCAGGGGAAAAAAACTTGGGCAATGGCCATAATGTGAGGAGAATGCCATGAAAAGTCTATTGTAATGCGTGTATTCCAGGTGACAAAGTTAAACATTATGGTGGAAACTTTAAACTCTGGGTTTCCTGAGTCTTGTGTAATTCAAATCTCACTGGTAACGCTTCATTGGTGGATAATGGCTTTAAAGCTTCCTTAAAGGAAAAAACAGGTGGACTGAAACAGGGGAGGAAAACAATGATTTTAACTACTGGAGGCACAAGTGCCCTTCATCTCCCCCCTCCACTTTCCCACTAGAAGGAAGTCTAAGAACAGATGAGATTTAAGCTTTCCAAATGCAGAAACCAAGAAAACTACCAGAATTTATCTCTTCACATAATTATGCTAGCTTTAATTCCTGGAGAAAACAATAAAATAAAATACATGATGCTAGAAGAAGGGGGTTACCATGTATACAAGCTTACTATGATGCATTTCAGTTTAAAATATGGGTGGAGTTAGAATGGAGGAAAGAGGACAAGTGGGTAAGATTGGAATCTGCGATAAATAAGGGAGCAGGAAGTTATGGAATTTATTCTAGAGATTTACGAAAAGAAATAAGACAAGCAGAGGGACCAAGGAAAACAGCCTTGCTTGCTTGGAAGAGGTGGGAAAAGGTATTGATGCCACAAACTTCGAAATGGACTCCACTTAGGTATATATGGGAGAAGGAGGTGAATCCGAAATTCTGGGAAGACCTGCAGGAGGAAGGAATATTAAGAGTGAAGGATATGTATAATAGCCATGGGAATCCATTAATGCCTCAGGAGTTGAATCAAAAACTAGGAAATAGATATTGGTTAAATTCAATGGGATTATATTCTTTAATTAAACAAGATAAGTATAAAGAAGCTATTAAAAGTGAAGATAATAATATGGAACAAATACTATATGTGAAAGAAATAAAAAAAGGGTTGACAGGGAAGATTTATTTAGAATTGGTGAAAGATAACGAATTTATGTGTAGAAGCTTAAAAACAAATGGAATAAAAAAAATTACTACTGAGGATGTTAATAAGTTAATGGTGAACTTGAATAAAATTAAGCTAGAAAAGTATAGAGAACTTGAAAGAAAGATAATCTGGAAGTGGTACAGAACCCCTGTACAACTGGCATATACGATAAAAGGGATGAAACCTAATTGCTGGCACTATAACACAAAAGAAGGGTGGTACTCTCACTTATGGTGGGAATGCCCAAAGGTGACAGATTTTTGGGAAAAGATATGGGGAAAAATAGAAGCGCTATGTAAAGTCAACCTGGATATAGATGTAGATTTATTATTTATGGGTGTATTGGGAAACCATAGAATTGAGAAACAAAATCAGGATATTTTCAAAGTAATGTTATTAGCAGCGCATGCAGTGATTGCATATGGTTGGAAGGAGAACTCAAAATGGACTTTAGAAAAATGGAACGAATATTTATACGAATATATATAATCAGACATATTGGAATGTTTAAAGAAAGATAAGATATGGACTGTAAAAATGAAGGAGATAAAAAAGAAATGGTCGGTATACTTTAAATGGGTTTATAAAGGGGAAGCCAACAGGGGTATATTTGAAAAGTTGGAAAGAATGTGCTCGTGGTTGAAAATGTAATTTGAATAACATGATGGTGGCCACCTTAGGGGGGGAGGGATAAAATAGGGGAAAAGAAGTATCAAAAATTTGGAACTAAACTGTAATGTAATAACAATATTGGGAGACAATAAAAAAATTATATCTAAAAAAAAGAAGTCTGAGAACTGTGCAGCTTTTGAAGCTGAATGCTTCCATAGTAATACTAAAATTTACTTGGAGGTAGGTCCACTGTCTTCTGGGGAGTAGGTTTAGAACCATAACCTTAAATGTCTGTCTGTGGACTCCTATGCAGAGTTACTCCAATCTAACCCCATTGATCTCAGTGGGCTTAGACTGGAGTAACTCCATAGGATTGCACTGTATGAATCTGATTTTGCAGGACTTGACATAAATAGGGGAGAGGTGGCAGCTCAGTAGCAGAGCATCTGCTTGGCATGCAAAAGGTCCCACGTTCAGTCCCTGGCACCTCCATTTTAAAAGATGGAATAGTAGGTGATATGAAAGACCTCTGCTATAACCCTGGAGAATTGCTGCAAGTCTAAGTGGGCACTACTGACTTCGATGGATGAATGGTCTGATTCAATTCAAGGCAGTTTCATGTCTCTGTGTGTCTCACTCTTGTGAATGTTAAGCATCTTCTGAAGTCTTTGACCCTGTAGATATGAAAGTACAAATTCTCCAAGTGTAAATAAAAGGCTGCATT